AAAAAAATCACCCACTGAGTTTCAAAGCTGCCACCTAGTAACGACTTTCTACTTCGAGGACCTTGATAGAAATGTAGTGGAGTGAAAAGTACAATATTTGTCTTTCAAATGTAGTGAAGTTAAAGTCATAAGTTCCCAGAAAAAAATAATACTCAAGTAAAGTACAGATACTCAAAAAGTGTACTTAAGTACAATACTCAAGTAAATGTACTTAGTTACTGTCCGCCTCTGATACTATGTTTGCTTATATAAAATTATTTGGGTATTCAGTTGTATGCTCAATAAATAATTAACAAACAATCTCATATTTTTGTCACTTTTTTGTTATGATAATACATCTAAGCAGGGCTGTGAACAGACCTAAAAATGTAAATGTCTGTAGAAATGTCCACCTAATTCAACTTAGAAACAATAATCATATTGGCTGTACAAGTCATTTCAACTCATTTTTAAAAAAATTGTGTCTTGTTGAATCTCGAATAACTTAAAAATTAAAGTTGAAATTGATTAAATTATTTGATGAGTAAGTAGTACTTATTTAAGTAATATATGTTGCCATCACTTATTTATCTTATTTTGTACAGTTAATGATACAAAATATCCATGTTGTCTTCTCTGAGAACCCGCAATGAGCACTTTTCAACATCTTGCCATTGTGGGTTTCTGTTTAAATGTGTACATTTTACTCAATTCAGTAAATCAATGACAAAAGTCAAGGGTCGGGTTGATGTCCAAATGTTTCTAGAATTGCACAATAATAAAACAACCCATGGGAAAAAAAACATCTCCATGAAATCCCTTTAGTTGTAAATAGATCTGAGCTTTGCTTTTGTGACTTGCAAAATGACTAAGCAAACTGTACAATGATGATAGAAGCATTTCATAATCAAACGTTAAACTTTTACACACAAACAGTTAAACTAATCATTATGACTGATGTATTTCGCAGTCATCATATTTAGACTATAGCTATTCTTACGAAAACTAATCCTCAAAAACATTTTTGGGACCTGTTTCAAGACAGTCGAGCTAATAAGTAACTTAAAGCAAGCAAAACAGATAGGCTATTGATTTGGCTGACAAAACAAATGCCTGGCCTGTTTTTCAAGGAGCAAACAGTCTATGATGGCACGTTTATTTTTGCTCTGTATACTTCATCTTTTCGTCTGCATCACTGTCCAGGGACGTGTGTAAGTTGCATTTTACATCATTTAAAATGTTCTACTGAACATAGCCTACTGGTCTGTATTATCAAAAAGCAGAACTGCAAAACAAAAAAATGTTAACTGAACCTAATCATCCGTACACTCTTGAAAAAGGACTGTGAGTAATCCTTCATGTTTGTCTGAAATGAGGCGTTTATATTTTAAATTGTTTGGTTTTTCGCATCTGCCAAGCTCTGAAAGCGACTCACAGACACAAGTATCTGTTTTGTTTTACAGATACTTAATCACTGCACCTAAACTGCTGCGACTCGATGCTTCGGAAAAGGTGGTGGTGCAGTTGTTTGGTTATGACAAGGAAATTACAGTAGATATTAAGCTAAAGAACACACTAGCACCAAGTTATAAAGAATATGCATCTCAGTCCCTGAAGCTCAACGCTGCGAATAACTATCAAGAATCGGCTACTTTACGGGTGGGGCTGCAAATTTGTATGATTTTTTTTATTAAAGGAGTTATTTACAGTTACAAAACATGTGAAAAGTTTTGCCCTATTTGATGTTGTTCATGAATATATTCTGAAAATGCTTTTTTTTCTGTTTCCCAGATAATGCCGACAGATTTCCCTAAAGAGGACAATTATGTCTACCTTCAGGCGATTTCCTCTGCTTTCACTGCACATGAAAAAATCCCAGTCACTACTGTTAACGGTTTTCTCTTTATCCAGACTGACAAGCCGTTATACACACCCGAACAAGAGGGTCAGTATGATAAAAATCTGTTGTGTGTAAGAGCGCGAATTTATGTATAAAGGGAAAGATGGAGTGGGTAAACAAAGAGAGATTCACCTCAAAACAATCCTTTAAATCTGTTTGTTTTCTTAGTACAAGTGCGAGTTTACTCCCTCAACGAGGAGCTGAGGAAATCTAGACGAACCGTCACCCTTACATTCGTGGTGAGTATCTCTCTTCATAGCCTCATACCTCACATGAATTATGATTTCTATATGTGATAACCTTGTTGATGTTTTAACTTTCTTTTAGGACCCTAATGGTATCAAAGTAGAGATTATTGATATGACAGACATCAATGGAGCAAAACCACTTCTTCCACCTTTCAAAATACCTTTAAAGCCCATGTAAGACACACAGTCTAGCCTATTAGTTGATCTGATGTTTAAATGCTTATTAGGAATAATAGTGACACTGAAGACCAGCTTGCTTGTGAATTTCTATGGCTGTCCAGGCTGGATCATACTGGACTGCGTTTCCCAAAAAGCCTAAATTCGTAAAAACGATCGTACAACTGATCTTTTTTTAAATTTTTAAATTTTTATTTTTTTATTGCAAAACTTGTAGAAACATACAGAAACAGGGAAGCGAGACATGAATATATTCCAACAAAAAGCAAATATAAAAATAAAAACAGAAAACAAATATTCTGTATTTGCATGTCAAATTAATTATTATCGATACATAAAAGTGCAAAAATAAACTTACATTCTTTTAGAAAAGTTGTCATAATACATCAAAAGTTTGGCACTCTTTTTGTTATTAGTAAGTCTAAGAGATGAAAGAAGAGAGTCCAATTCAACAAGAATTGCTTATGAATAAAGAATTTTGCATTAAAATTAACAAAATTAACAACATATTCAACAGATAGCTTTGGATTTTCATAATAAAAGCGAACATCTTTGGTATGGGCCATATGGGACACATTTGTAAGGTTAGAAACATAGGTGCTTAAGTCAACCCATAATTTGTTGGTAACACCACAATCAAAAAACAAATGGGGAGCGGTTTCCTCAACAAAACCACAAAACGAGCAAGATTCATCAACATTAGAATATTTAGAAATAGACAAATTAACGGGGTAAATTTTATGAAGGATTTTATAATGAATCTCCTTAACCTTGTTAGAAATGCAAAATTTACTTGGCAAAAGCCAGGCCTTGTTCCAATTTATATTTGTTATAAAGGAACCCCAATAGAATTTCCCTCTTGGAGTTATCTTTCTCTTTGTCTGAAATATTTTGCGGATATGTCCGTTATTGCATTTCCGATCTAAACTACCGATACCACCCAAACATAAAGCCAGATAAACACTGTTGCCTTTGCTGAATTTAAGGTGACTTTTAATTAACTGGGTTAAGCCTACTGGGATGGCTCTCATCAAAGTATTATATTCCTTTGGTGGGACTGGAAAAGTAGGAGATTTAAGCCATTTTTGCTTATGAATGAAGAATTTTGCATTCAATATAAGAAAATTAACAACATATTCAACAGATAATAGCTTTGGATTTTCATAATAAAAGATAACATCTTTGAGGACGAAGGTATGGGACACATTTGTAAGGTTAGAAACATAGATGCTTAAGTCAACCCATAATTTGTTTGGAACACCACAATCAAAAAACAAACGGGCAGCTGTTTCCTCAACAAACCCACAAAACGAGCAAGACTCATCAACATTAGAATATTTAGAAAGACAAATTAATACGGGGTAAATTTTATGAAGGATTTTATAATGAATCTCCTTAACCCTCCTAATTTGAATCTGTACATTATAACGAAAACAATACCTTAAAAATGAAAAGAAGCAAGTTTTTGCAATCAGGTTTTTTTTTAAACCGGTAAACTTTTCAGTTCAAGGATCCAGTAAACGAATGCCTTCAAACAGTAGCCTAAGTTCAAAACCGCTACGGAGAAAACCGACCGATTTCTTTAGAGATGGCTTAGTCACCTCCAGAATTATTATTTTCAGCTTGTATTTGGCTTAAAAGCACAAGTGTTTTATAATGGACGCTGTTGAATCCTGAATGTGTTTTTTAGATTCTGAATGGATCAGTATAGAAGCCTGTACAGTCAGGTCAAGGCAGTAGGTTTGGAAAGACAAATTAATGGGGTAAATTTTATTTAGGGTTTTATAATGAATCTCCTTAACCTTGTTAGAAATACAAAATTTACTTGGCAAATGCCAGGCCTTGTTCCAATTTATATTTGTTATAATGAAGGTGTTTTTTAGATTCTGAATGGATCAGTATAGAAGCCTGTACAGTCAGGTCAAGGCAGTAGGTTTGGTGATCTTTTGGCGTCTCCTTGTGGTCCTGTTTGATATTGCAGCTTGACTAGTGCTTAATTGTATTAAAAATGCTCTAAACAATTTTTTGCACTATATAGTAGGCTATATAGATAAATTGTAAAAGGTATGGGGGAAGTAGGGGTTCTTATTTTGCCCGTCACTGTATGCCATGGGAGAAACAGTCAGTCAAGCATAGGAGTAGGCTGCACAATTCTGGATAAATTGATCACAATTTTTTTTTATTTTGGTATCAAATAGAGATCATGATCCTCCTACAGATAACAATTTATATTTGTTATAAAGGAACCCCAATAGAATTTCCCTCTTGGAGTAATCTTTCTCTTTGTCTGAAATATTTTGCGGATATGTCTGTTATTGCATTTCCGATCTAAAATACCGATACCACCCAAACATAAAGCCGGATAAACACTGTTGCCTTTACTGAATTTAAGGTGACTTTTAATTAACTGGGTTAAGCCTACTGGGATGGCTCTCATAGTATTATATTCCTTTGGTGGTGGGACTGGAAAATTATGGAGATTCATAAATTGTTCGCAAGTTAAAATATGACCAAAATCATCAAACACGGGTAGAATACAGTTCAAGTTGTTATTAAACCATCTAGGGGGAAAAGAGACCTATTTCTAACAGTTATATCAGCATTATTCCAAAGAAGAACTTTGTCTTTATCAGTCGGCTTTGCGTATACCCACTTCTAAATCTCCTCTGATGCGCATCATTCAGTAGTGTCCTGCATTAGCCAAAATCATGACCGTCCACCATGACTAGCTAATCAAATTGCATGTGAATAAATGCAAATATTCCCTAAACATACCCAGTAAAGACCATGATGCGGTCAGGATGCGATGGCTGTTCTTTGAATTTGATTGCGCCCGTCTCTCATCTCGACAAATCACGTGAATGCAAGCGGAGTCGTTCTGGGGCTTGAGTGCATGACAGGGAGATGCGCAGAGTGATAAAATCATATTTAATTATTGACTCCTAATTTGAATCTGTACATTATAACGAAATTTTTTTTTGGTATCAAATAGAGATCATGATCCTCCTACAGATAACTAAACAAAATAGCTTGTCTACTAGAGGTTCTGACAAAATGTTAATTGTTGCAGTCTATGTAATTTTTACATTTTAATTATTTATTGCAAAATCTGCACCTCTTTTGTGGCTAATATTAATTTCATAATGATCCTTACTCCGTGAAGTCAAGTAGCAGAAGTTACAGAAAGTGAAAATGTGCAAATACTACTGGCCCATTTTGGGGTGAACTAAATATGCAAGACTAGTCTTACGTCACTGTTTATAACACAGGCCGTTCATCCTTTGCTGGGCCGCTTAAAAAAAAAAAAAGGGGACATAAATTAAGAGTATACCCACTTCTCCAGGCACCACTACACCACTGCCTAACCCTACACCTAAACCTACCCCTCACACAAAACTTTCTGCATGTTTAGATTTTCTGAACACTTAATCCTGTAGGAGTTTAATGTCAGTCAGAACCTACCAATGTTTTCCACAGATACACCATAGTTTACGTAGCCTACCTAATAACAGAAAATCAGACAAGATAAAAACAAAAGTAAACATTTTGGAACTTCTGAAAAATGTAAGTTCTCCTTCCTGTAAAATGTTTAAGGGGCATAATAATAAATGTGACATTCTGTCATTTAGTGATTTCTTTTGCTCTTTTACAGTGCTTCTAAACTCCAGGTTACTGATATCTGCAGGTACTTCATCAGTCTATTAACCACTTCACAAATGAGCAGTTACACCACAGTTAATGTAATAGTCCAGTTTAATATTAAGTTACTTCATATTTTGTATAGCCTACCTGGTTTTTTGCAGCAGAGACGTAATGGATTCTCTGTTTTTAATTATAAATAAATCAAATCTGTCTTTAAGACTTAAAAACTACATATAAAAGCTTAAACAAAGGGTTGGAGCTTAGCATCCTCAGCATCTTTTAGATCCTCCCACTTTAATAATGTTATGTGATGTCATAAAGCTAAAATTGCCATGAGATAACTCGATACGTACAAACAGGCCTTCGGTTCTGCTTGAAGTTTGATGACTTTTGCTCACGCTCACCTTGTTAACTAAAGACAAATGAAACCTTGAAGCTGGAATCTTATCTTTTCAGAGACTGTAATTACATGTGATGGGTTTGTCCAGCATCTCAGTTGTGGTAAGCTGTTGTGTTGTCACCTGATTATTTATTTATTGTATTGTATGCAAAGTAGTCCATGATGAAATGATGCTTTTCTTTTATTCAGACTCTGGGGTGATCCATGTGCAGTCAGCAACCTGTGGCCGCACAAGCAGCCAAATCTGCAGCGTTGGACGACCCCAAAGTGAAACGGCTAATGTTCAGTGTTCAATAGATGTTCCTGCGGTCTCTAAACGGTAGCAGTCTTTTTCACTACGGGCTGTGTTTGCGCTAAGTTTTTTTTTAAACTGACACCATTGCTGCATCCCAATATGCCTACTTCCACTATAAAGCAGGCGAAAAACAGTACATGGAAAGTAGTGTCTGAATTTATAGTATTTAAAAAAAAATAAATAAATAAAAAAACTTGGGTGAAAAAGTACCCGGATGTCCTATTATTTGTGCATCTGATAGACACTTTAATGGTAATGAATGGTAGTGACGCAACTGTTGCCGGCAGGTCACGTCAGAGTAACAACATGACAGATGTATTCAGATTAATTTTATTTATACTCCAAATATTCATTCTACATGGAATGTACTGTAACAGTCGTGAAGCAAGTTTCAAAGCAAATATTGTACCGACTAGACAGAATGCAGTTTCAGGTGCAGCTCATATCTTTACTTTGGGAATCTTTCCTACTGTAGTTGTTGGAAACCATGATAAACAACAGTAGTGTAGAGATTCCTGTAGCATCTTAATAGTGACGCACAAGGTACTTAACTAAGCTTTTCAAAAAACGAAGTGTGGTCATGTTGATGGCTATGTTGACTAATGTTTCCAAACATCCAGTTAGGAATGTGTCTTTATCGTTAAACAGGTGTAATGGACTGAGAGAGTGCGAGTTAAACACTCAAGGACTTGCACCACAAGATCCATGCTATGGCACCTACAAGTACTACACTACCAACTACATTTGCATCCCAGCAGGTGAGGGATTTTTTTTTTCTTTTTTTCCCCTGTTCATTAAAATGTCCTTTTCTGTGCACGCTTGTAACTGTCACCTTCTTCCAGAAACAAGTGTGACTTGTCATGGTGGATACAGTTACTTGAAATGTGGTAAGCAATTTTACTCCAACTTTGTTTCAATTCATAGCTTTCAGGCTTTAAGACCTGGAGGGCGAAACATCCATAGAACTGCAGCACAAGCCTGTCAATTGTCCATCTCTTTCACAGCCGCAAATATTTAGATCACCTCTCAAAAGAATAAAACAAAGATATGTGAACATAATGCAAGTTTTGGCCATTTGCGATCCATATTACAGTGCTTCAAAGTCCGGACCCGGAGGGAATTCAATCCGGACCCGCCTCCATTTCGTATTTCAAGAGCACTAATTTCCTACTTTGATAAACTGTAAATCATTTGTTTAGGTTTTTTTTAATGCCTTTTTGGAGATGGTACGAAATGAAAGCGAAGACGAGATATTTAAAGTTTACCTGCGTGACATTGTTGTCATGACATCCAGTGAGCGTTTGACATTGCCTAATCGGGCGACACTTCACCGCTGATATGAGTTTTTATTTTATTTTTCATTTTTAAATGACTTCGATCAGGGATGGGCAACTGGCGGGCCGTATACGTATATCATATTGGACTCGGATGATCATTTTTAAAACATTTGAAAAGCAAGTCACGTAAAGATTGCTTTCAGTTTATG